CGAGGGACAGCTGTTCACTCCTTTTTATTGCTGAGTAGTGTTCCAGTTGTGTGGAAACCCCATCTCTACTAAAAATACACAAATTAGCCAGGTGTGGTGGCCCACGCCTGTAATCCCAGCTACTCTGGAGGCTGAGGCACGAGAAGTGCTTGAACCTGGGAGGTGGAGGTTGCAATGAGCCGAGATTGCACCACTGCACTCCAGCCTGGGCGACAGAGTGGGACTCTGTCTCAAAAAATAAAAAGTAAAAAATAAAAATGTTTTCTGAAGAGCAGAAGTTTTTAATTTTGATCAGCTTTAAGTTACCAATTTTTTCTTAAATGGCTTGTGATTTTTTGTTTCTTACCTAAGAAATCTTTAAGAAACTGTTGTCTAATCCAACGTTGAAAAGATTTCTCCTATGTCTTCTCCCAGAAATTGTATCCATTTAGGTCTATGATCCATTTTTAGTTAATTTGCATATATGATGTGAGGTATCTTCTTTTTTGCAATTTTATTTTTGTTTTTTTTTTTTTTTTTCTGTAGAAACGAGGTCTCATTGTTGCCCAGGCTGGTCTCGAACTCCTGGTATCATGTGAACTTCCTGCCTCACCCTCCCAGAGAGCTGAGATTACAGGCATGGGGCACCGTGCCTGGCCTTCTTTGCAGGATATGTGTGTGTGTGTGTGTGTGTGTGTATATATATGTATGCCTGCAGGGCCCTATTGTGAGTTTGTTACACATTTTACTGCAACTTAAATAGTGCCACCACCCCACCATATAGCAAGCTAAATAGAAACTCTCTTATGCTAAGGCTGGTTGAGGGCAGTATGCAAGATTAGCATGGAAAGGGCCCTTCATTTAGCACTCTGCTCCATTCATTTTTGTCAGGTCACTTTCTTATCTTCTCCAGGCTGTCAGATCTGTTTTACTGCTCTAGCCGCACTTCCCTCAGCCTCTTGCAGCATCTTTCCTGTCAGCTAGATCCCTTCCTCTCTGGATGAAGTCCTCTTCATCGACCAGCTTTCTCACTTGGTTCTCTAAGACAGTGAGGATCTGTCTGCTTTTTTCTTGACCATTAGTGGATAGGAAAAAAGCTCTCATTTTCTGTAACCATTTGTCACCGAGGCCATAAAGACATTGAACTAACTGCCTTATGGGAGTTCATTACTGGAAGTCTTCAGGAGTTTACACATTGATATACAAAGTAAGTAGGCCAGCGCATTTGAGTCTTGGCTCATGTGTAATGATCTTTAATGCATATTGAAAAATTATTCTCAAGTAAGGATAACATACACCTCAGGTCACTTACAGTCTCAAAGGTTTGTCAGTATACTTAAAACATTCCTGGGAACAGTTCTAGATTGAAGGAGACTAAAGAATCATGCAGTAAGTGCAATGTCTGATGTTTGACTGGATTCTGAATTTGTTTAAGCCATGTTATGACTGAGACATTGTGAAAATGTGTATATGGGCTACGTAGTAAACAATGATAATACTAAGTTCCATTGGGTGATAATAGTATTCTGGTTATGTAGGAGAATGCCTTGGTTCTTAGGGGCTGCACACTGAAGTATTTAATGGTGAAGGGTCATTATGTCTGCAACTGACTCTCAAATGGCTTGTCCAGAAAATGTATAGAGATACACCCATGGAAAGCAAATGTGGCAAAGTATTAGCAACTGTTGATTCTAGATGAAAGTTATACAGGTGTTCATTATACCATTCAAAAAGGCTTCCCAGCCATCCTAAGGCTTAAAGGAAAAAAACAAAATGTTTAAAATAAAAAGTTGGGGGCAGGAAAATAATACAAAACCTTTGGGCTCGCGCCTGTAATCCCAGCACTTTGGGAGGCCAAGGAGAGAGGGTTGCTTGAGCTCAGGAGTTCAAGACCAGCCTGGACTACATGGTGAAACCCCATCTCTACAAAATATACAAACATTAGCCAGGCATGGTGGCACACACCTGTAGTTCTAGCTACTCAGGAGGCTGAGGTGGGAGGATCACTTGAGCACAGGAGGCAGGGGCTGCAGTGAGCCGAGATTGCACCGCTGCACTCAGCCTGTGTAACAGAGCGAGACCCGGCCTCAAAACAAACAAAAGAAACACCTTTGTGTCAGAGTTAAGGTTGCTGTATAATAAAATGCTGGGGTACGGTTCTGGGTCCATTCCACATGAAGACCAAAGGCTTCCACTGGACGCAAAGGAATAATACTAGTCACTTGTGATTATTCCTCTGTAGGTTTGAAAGATGTGTCAGGCCAACTTATTGGATGCAGTTTTAATCTAAAACTCTATATACATTGTACCCCCAACTCATAGACTTCATGTATCCATGAAACACTCTTCTGTCTCCACAGTCTTAATGTGGCCCTAATACAGCCATCCTTTTGGAGGACTCAGAAAAGGCCCCCCACAACCTCTGCAACATAATAATTATAGTAGTTAACTGCTATTGAGCACTCACTGTGTGCCAGGCATTTTTCAGGTATTGATTCATTTAATCCTCAAAACTCATTAGAGGTAGGTACTATTATAATGACAAGGTCGAGGAACAGAGATTAAGCAATTTGCCCAAATTCACATTATTAGCGGAGCTGGGATTTAAGCTTGGTCTGGCTGTGGAATCTGTATTCTTAATGACCATGCTATACTCCCTGAGATTGACCTTTTACTCCAGTTACAGGGATTGTCTTTATCTCTCTGAAACTGCCCCCAATAAGCCATTACAATAAACTAATCAATTGTCTTGGTTATCTCTTCTGCCCAAATTTACATTTTGAAAAAAATTCAAACATGCCAGAAAGATGAAAGAATAGTACAGAATCCAATTGAACATCAGGCACTGCATGTCATGTCGTCGTTTCCTTTCATCTAAAACATTCCTCTACTTTCTTTGATCTTTCATGACATTGGCATTTTTTAAGAGTCAAAGATCGTTGTCCTGTAAATTGTCCCACTATCTGGATTTGTCGGTTTCCTCATGATGAGATTCAAGTTCAGCATTTTTGGGAAAAATACTGCATATGTATCCTTCCTGCCTCGTAACCGCAGGTGACCTGTAATACTAAGTTTGATCACTTGATTAAGGTGATCTTCCAGATCTCTCCATTGTAATTATTTTGCTGGGTGCAGTGGCTCACACTTGTAATCCTAGCACTGCGGAAGGCCAAGGTGGGAGGATTGCTTGAGTCCAGGAGTTCTACACCAACCTGAGCAACATGGTGAAACCCTGTCACTACTAAAACTACAAAAAAAAAAAATAGCTGGGCATGGTGGTGCAAGCCTATACTCCCAGCTACTGAGGGGGCTGAATTTGGAGGATGACTTGAGCCCAAGTCAAGGGGGATTGAGGTTTCAATGAGTTATAATTTTGCCACTGTATTTTAGCCTGGGCAAAAGAGTGAGACCTTGTCTCATAAAAAAAAAATAATAATACTAATTTCCCCCTTGGTAATAAATAGTCTGTGGGGTGGTACTTTGAGTTCAGTGAAGATCCTGTTCTCAAATGTCTTTTCAGCCAAATGTGCATCAAGGATAATCCTTGTCTGAAAGAATTTTTATTAGATTGGTGGTTGCAAAGTGACACTTTGTAAAATTCTGTCATTCCTTCTACATATACTAGCTGGCATTATTTCATTGAAGAACTCCCCCTTTTTCTTTTTGAATATCACCCTTCATGGATTCTTCTTTATATTAACGATGTTGTAACTTTCTAATGTTGTTATTCTTTTGAATGGTCAGATTGTCCAGATTTGGCCAATGCTATCTCTGTTATTTTTTAACCCCACAATCCAGGTTAAACTAAGCTATTTTTAATGCCCAGAGTAATTTATAGTATTTCCCACTCCCAACAGGAATTGAGAAAGGGCCTCCAGAAGTTGGGGACTTACTCAGATTCTTCTTAGAAGTCTACCTTCTTCCTATATACTTTCAGCCCAAAGTGAGACTTTTGAGTTGGGAAGAGATACTTCTGAATTAAACTACTGATCAGTGTCACCCAATTCTAATCCCAACCACCTTTATTCTAGGCATACCATACTCACTGCCATGGTTACTGTTCGGCTGGGCACCTTTGCCCTCCTTCCTATTGGCCTTCTGGTTCCTACCCAACTGTCCATCCATAGGCTTCAGTAACACCTTTTTGCCCACCCCTGTGGTAGTGTTGGCCTGCCTCCTTTACCTACTCAAGTAACTGCTTTACCACTAATTTTTTGTTCTCTGTTTTCATCTATAGGATCTTACCTAGCCATATGGCCTGCTGCCTCTGCCAATTTAAAAACAGCATTGAGGCTGTCGGCAAGACAGTCAAGCTGCATTGCAACAGTGCATGTCTGACAAACACCATACGTTGTTGTGAGTCCAAATTGCCTGGTGATCAATTGTTACATTATTTTAAGTATTTGTTTTTAAACTTTTTATGTTTAATGATGATAAAATTTTATGATATTATTGCTTTTTTATTTACTCATTCAGAGTTAAACTCCCTCAATTTCCGAACTATTCCCTTGCTGAGAGTCAGGTTCTCAGTTATGATTACAAAATTTAATAACAGAACTGTTCCATATGCACAAAGGACCAAAACAAAGGAATGGAAAGACTAGGGAGTAACAGTAACATCCACACACTGTGTACTGTGCTGTCTGCTTGGTGCTTTGCCCCCAGTGATAATTTCTTCATACAGTGCAATGTAGTTTGTAAGCTGGTTTTATATCCATGAGGTCTCGAGTACTCTCGGTCTTGTAGGACAGATGTAGATCCGGTTTTGGTTTTTTGTTTTTACAATTTCATAAGAGTACGAGTGATGCTATTTTATTTGAAGCCTGAGAGCTTCTGGTTCCATAACCAGAAATTGCTGCCTAGCTCTTCTAATGGAATGGAGGGCTTTTCCATGCTTAGACCATCCAACGCTGAACTTGCTCTGAATTCAAACCTTTCCATTCACAGAACAAATGCGCAAGTGCTTTCAGGAGTGTTTCTGTAGATTAGGTTTATTAGCACCAACTTCATGACTTCTAAAATGTGACTGCTTTCATGTCCAGATAGCTTGAATACAGGTATCTACCAGTGATGTGAGGTGGATGATGAATAATGCTTGGCTACATAAAGTCAGTGTTGTTTATTTTTCAAAACTTTTTTTTTTTAAACAATTATATTATTCCCTTCTCCTGAAGAGGTGGGCAGAACAGCATTGGTAATCTCCTTTTACAGATGAGGAAAAACAAGATCAGAGGTGCTAAGTGCTGTACCTTGTGCCAGGTCTTCTGTCCCAATTCTGGGTTTTCCCCAAGCCCATGTTTCTCCTTTCTCACAATCTTTACTTCTTCCTCTGACCCTCAGCACCACCCAAAATACTTTTAATTCTGGAAAAGAAAGCCAGCTGCACACGGGCACACTTGACCTTCATGCAGTCAGAAGCTTTGGATGGTTCCCCATCCAGAATATTAGAGATAAAATGAAAGCAAAGTAGGCAACTGATAAAAGTTGCTTTTTCCCTTCTGCATTTTAGGTCCTCAAGTAATGTTTATCGAGAAACTGCTGTCATACCATAGATTCATTGTACATTCAACAACATAAGCATAGCATACAATCTGGCAAATTAAAAATCCCTTAACCTACACCCTGGATCCCTGTCCAAATTTAAGAAAAGAATTAGGGTGGACACGGTGTTTTTTCCATGTCATGTCTTCTGTGATGGGGCTGCGATATGTGGGAGCAGAGAATGGGGTGGGTGGGTGGAGCGTGTGCCAGATGAGGATCTATCAGCAATGGGAGGGGCTCTCCAAGTTAGCATCTCCACCCTGCTCCTCTCAGAGGACCGCCTTCCATTGCATTCAGCTGTGATGGTAGCAAGAACACGGGTACACTGAGGACAAGGAGAGAGGGAGCCTTGTGCTCTCTCTCTGCATGTGAGGCAGGACAGCACAGGGTACGGAGCAGTCTGCAGAGAGGCCAGCTCATCAGGGAAGCACTTGTCTTCCACCTTGGGCTTTGACTGAGCACTGGGCAACTGGCCCCTGGGGATCAACGGAATAATCCTAAGCAGAGTTACTCTATGTCACACTATGGAATGTTCCAAGTAGGTGGCCATGTTTTCAAAAGATGTCTTTTCTCCTTTTGTTGTTGCCATTTCGTAGGTTTAGGATTGGGTGTGTGTTTCTCCTCTCTGAATGGCACTCGAATGTTTGCTGATTCCTACTCAGTGTGACTGGGGTGTACAGCTGTGGACTGATGCATGCTGTCCCGTCATCTTTCATGATCAAAGCAGTCTCTTCTTTTTTCACAGCTGAAGAACTGTCTGTAGGGAATCCAACAGGAGCGTTCATGAAGGTGTTACAAGCCCGGAAGAAGCACACGAGCACTGAGCTGACTATTGAGCCGGAGGTGCCCTCAGACAGGAGTCGCATCAACTTCTCCGGCTTTGGGAGTGAGCAGCTAGACACCAATGACGAGAATGAAGTTATCAGTGCACTAAGTTATATCTTGCCGTATTTCTCAGCAGGAAATCTAGATGCGGAATCAATATTGTTACCGTTCACTAAACTGCTTTTTGCAAATGTGCAAGATCGCGATAGGCCCCTGAGTATTTTGAAAAACAATACAAA